GAAGGCAGGTCAACACCCGAATTTACCACCCCGGAAACCCGGATTAGTAACGTTCCACCAACCTCTTTAAGTCAAAAAAAAAGTAAAAAAAGAAAGAAAGAAGTTCGTTTTTTTCGTTTTGAAATAATAAATATCTTTAATATCCACTATTCATTTTACCAAGACTTATCCCCCACGGATCTCGTAGTCTTATATATTCGTGTGCAAGTACTTTGAGATAATAGGGGTAGATATCGTACACTCGACCATTGGTCACCTGAAGATAACGTCCACGGTGCGTGATGTTAAAAGTAAGGGTGTGTGCATATTTAGCGATAGTAGTCATGTAACAGTGAATCACAACAAAAAAAAAAGAAACGGGGAAGAAATAAAACAAGATCAAGATCCTAAAACGTTCTTGATTAAGCAGCTGTTTGTGTGACGTTAGAAACGTTGGAGTCTGTAGCTGGGGTCGAGAGAAGGCCACTCCTTATGGAATCTCCGAGATCCGGTCCTGGCGGCCGGACAGAAACTGGTTGGTAATGAATCGAGTACCTCGAAGAGCCTGTTTACCGGATACTTTTATATAAAGACGGCGGCCGGCGTCGTTAACCGCCTCGAGATGCGTGCATAATGCCTCTTGTATACCAACAACAAAGCGAAGAGAACCAGTCGCGTACGACTGCGCACATTAATGAAGAGACCTGAATAATATTATGATGACCGTCCCTGTTCTTTATGAAGCCGTTTGTCGTCGCTTGATGAATCATGGAATATGGCGCCCTCATTAAGTAATTGTAACCGAGAAGTTTATCCAGAACGACAGAAAAACCGCAAAGACCCTTCTCTACCTGCTTCGGTCATAATTCTTCTACCAAAAAGAAAAATAAAGTTGGGGTTGCGCAACGTAGTAATCCGAAGCCCACGCGTCTAACTTCTCAGAATAATCCGAAAAATTCTTGGAAACTAAAAACAATATAATCAAAAATCAAACAGAATTAATTATGCAACCACACTTACGAACACAAAGTCGATAAAGTAGTTTTTCAACACACTTAATTTAATCCATACATAATCCACACTTAATCTACATTTAATCGTCATTTAATCCCTGTGAGTTCAAATTAACAAAATGATTATAATAAGATAGTGTCTAGTTAATTAAATTATCGCCATCCTCGTTTTGTTATTATTATAATTAGTACATGATTGTTTACGATCTAAGCGTTAAAACGTAAGCGGCGCGTTAAAACCAGTATACAAACACACACACGAAGCGGTTATAAATTATCGCGGTGCTGTTATCAACCGTTGAATACGCGACGGTTTGCGAGCGTTGCGAGTGGAGCGTAGTGGATCCCGAGATAACGACCCGTTTTTAGGGCCATTACCGACCCGGAGCGAATACGGTCGCCGGCCCGAACGAGCAAACACGTTTCCGCAGACCGTATTTACATTTTAACGTTTTCGCTTCCGATTTATTTTCGGCGAACGATAACGTCGACAAATGCGCAGAAAATGTTTCGATGGACGACGCCATTCCTCGTAATGGATTGGAACTCGCTCGCTGTTTAACCCGTTTAAAATATGTAATTTTGATGAGTGCCGTCGCCCAGTAATGGACCGTCACGGTTAATAAATTAAATAAACCTATTTGTATTTGACGAGGTTGGGCTGTTTGCGATGCAAACTGATTTTAATCCAGTTTATTAAATGTGCACCTATCATTAGTTATATCGACTCCGATGTATTAATTCTTAATTCCTTAGGTCTTCGAAATGATCGTAACCAGCACGCGGAATCGCATTAAAGATGCAAATGCATCGACCAAGAGAGGAAACGGTTCGTGCCCGCAATTACGTGGCAGATTGCGATCGGCAGTCGAAACTGGAACGCAGCTTTGATGATGGACTTTACGGTTCGCCAGAAATCCATTAGAGCGAAAGTAGAACGACGGCGGCGGTACCGTTTGCTTTATGGACCCGGGTGTTTGATTAAAACATCAACCATTTCTCGGAAATCAAAAACATGTTAATTACTTTGTGTATTTTCTTAGTAAGTCTCATTACACACATCGTTTTATTATTAACAAATAAAAATGTGATAATGTTGAATTTAAATTTTGAAAGAAATATTTTTCATACAAGAACGATTTCCCGCAGTTTACATGGGCGCAGCGTGGTCATAAATCAATAACGGAGTGGCGCGCGAGAGAGCAATTGATTGCAAACGGCGTCTTTCGAAAATTGTTACCGTTCTCGGTCCGCGAATCGTGAGGACAACCGCGTTGTACAGTACCTATTGTGTTGACCTTTTGCATCGACATGGTGATTTATCGTGTGGGAACTTTTCCCCCTTTCCTTGTCTCTTTCTCCCTTTCTCTCTCTCTCTCTCGATTCGTATCGAATAGTCTTGAAACTTGTCGACCCAATATTTAGCTACGTTATCGAACACTACCCATTACCTTCCCTACAATGGGATCGTGCTAATTCGGCAAATTGAATTGGCTCGAACGTAATCGACTCACGGCGGCAGCACGCTCCGTGCTTCTATTACGGAACAATTCGAGAGCCTATTCGAGGGGATCGCTTTAGATTAACGGTACATAGTTAGGATTGCGTCTAATTAGTTTAGAGAGAGAGTATATTGTTGAATTTCGCATTTACGTCGAAAGAAACAATCATAGTGACGTGGTTTAACCCGTCCGTCAACGGCTGTTTCCCCTTTTTCAAGCGCCTGTCTGCGCTCCTGATTCGCTTAATAACGGGCTGTTTGCACTTCCGGCTTTCGGTGCCGGCGTGGGTTATGTTTCTGTGACAACAGAATCGATTACGGTTATTAGTGTACGCGGTGGGAACAACGATATATTCGTTGCATTTTAAAAAGTACCTGAAACATTTTTTTCCTTTTAACTAAACGTTTAGATCGATTTCTTACCTGATATAAATGATAGTTCCGTTGGTAAGAAGCCTCTTCCACCCGAATGGCACATTAACGAAAGGTGTCTGAGGCTGAGAAACGGTAACAACCGAAGCACTAGATTGTTGATCGGGGGTAACGGCCAACACAACCCCCCCGTGTCTTACACTAACACCACCGCCGTCAAACACGACCATTTCCTGGGGTTGAGGAACGACGACGAGGCCCCCCTCGTCCGCTGAACTAAGGCTGCTACAGCTGGATTCGGCGGTTTCGGAACGTACGGAGTCACAGCGTACGACGCAATTTGCCGCCTCCAGGTACTCGCAGCAATCGTCGCGAGACTTATCGGGTCGGCCGGGACCCGAATCGGAGGGCGGTTGCGGATCGGGGCCGCTTTTGATTTGGCTCAGAACGTTCACGTTCTGGTGGTAGTCGACGACGGGGAACCCGTTCTGCGATATCACAGCATTGCTAGTAGTCGAGTAGAACCCGTTGTAATCCGTTGGCTTGAGTTTGTCGACGGTGGAGAAACATTTAGTGCCCGCCACGGGGGCCACGGAATGCGTAGGGTAGGCCCCGTTCTGGACAACCGCGTGCGAGCCCTGGGGTACATGTTGGCCGCTTACCGTGTACGCTTGGGCAAAATTGTCATTCGAGACGTAAACGACTACATTTTGGATTCCCTGCGTCGGCAATTCAGGCTTTGAGGCCATCGTGTAAGCATAGTATCAGCTCTCTGGACGAGCCGACAATTAACACTGTCCAACACTTCTAAAACAAAAATTGCAAACAATCATTATTACAGGTTTTATGCAAAAAAACATCTTCAGGACAATCACAACGTAATCAAATATAAATTAATTTAAAATTCACCTTGTAAATTACGAAACAAAACGCAATTGGGGTCATAAATTAACGAAAAACCAAGTACGTTAAGTGAAAGTCGTGCCAAATTTGTTACGGCAATAAAAATTTAAAGGTTTCCCAACCTCACTTTAGGACAATAAACAAACCGATCTCTTACCTGCATCTCGTATTACTTGCTCGTTTGGTGGAACCCCGTTGAAAAACTAGCATTACACTCGCGTATCGTCGACAACGGCGACGGTTTCACACTTTTTTCGGTTATCATAAAAATTCGTTTTCGGGACGTCGTTGGTTAACCCCTTTTTTCCAACACACCTGCGCGCCCAATTTAGACGGAACGCGGACACGGACGGTTCCCGTTACTCATTTTCCGAACGGACGCGCACGTTTTCTTACGGAAAAACCACCAACACACTTCGTTACGATCACTTTCCCTCCACACTCTGTTTGATTTCACTCGCGTTAAAATAGGCACTGAAAAATATGGTGCCCATCTCGGGCTCCCAGAATGCATTGCGCCAATCGCCGCTCTCCTTTTCCCATCATACACTGCGTTCAAATACCTTACGATTCTTACGACATCTATTCAATTATTTTTTAACTAGTTAGCGATATTACAGAGCTCTACTTAAATTTAATTTTGTAAATGGGAATATTATGATGCTTTGATAACACAAAATACAACAAATTTAAATTTTTTATAGTAATTATATACAGTTTTAGTTTCTCTTACAGTCGTAATAATAACAATAAGAACAAATTTATTCTGGCTCATCAGGTTTTTTTACAAATACAAAATACAAACGTTATTGCTGTCTTAAAATGTAGATAGACAGCTTATAAAGGATTCCCCTTCATCTGGAATATAGATGACTTGAGGTTAACAAGAGTTAGGATGGATTATTATTAAATACATAAGTTATATGGATTAATTGTACGACACTGGCCCGAAATTATAGGTTCATCTATTTTTTCTATTGTAGAATTTCTTGATGTATCTAAGTCGGTTTTTAGACGTATGATGCAAATCAGACTTGAAATCGTATAACGTGATTGGCGCTTAGCTTTATCCTTTAAAACAAATAGTATTTTAGGTCTTTCGGTATTCTGCATTTTTTCTAAGATAAGTTACATATTTACCTACCAGACAAAATCTCTAAAAACGATAAAATATCGCTTAGTCAAGTGATGTATAACGCGGTCCAATTAGAACATTCAAAAAAAATTATAAATCTTGTGGATATAGTACTTTATTTAGCAGATAATACTGAGTTCAATGGTACAATATTTACGTGAAATTGTTTCTTTATTATTTGAAAATGATATAAGACGTAGTCGCACATATTATAAATCGTTTTTTTCATAAAAAACTAAATATAAAAAATATACACTCAAAAAAAGAAAACGAGTACATCATCAACAAAGGGAATTTAAATCAAAATAAATAAAGTATAATTCAACTATTAAATTATAATTAAAAAAACACCACGAAAATCCCAAAAGAAAAAAAAAGTAAGATGACATCGACGTATTTAATAGCAAATGAAAATTACACTATGAAGAAAATACATCTATTAAATTTCTATTTTAATATACCCTCCAAAGAACCTAAAGGAAGTTCTTAGTTAGTTGCACATTGTACTTTTTGTCCATGACCATGATCATCATCCTCATCATAAGCGTTCTTTTGTTGACGCCGCCTGGCTTCCTCTTCGGGATCAAACGGAATCAAAGTGCATTCCTCTGCTTGATCGGGAATCATAATTTCAATTCTTGGCGGTAAACAAGATTCCAATTGCGGAATAATTTCCGTGTTAATTTCGGTTGGAAAGGCAACCAAAAATTGTACAATCAAACGTCCTTTTTCAAACGGATTCTTATACTGGGGCATACCTTCGTTCAAAACGCACTTTACATCGCCGTGTTTCGTCACTTCACCTGGTATAGCTGTTATAACCAGATCACGATCATCGAGAGTTTTAATGATTTTTTGAAAACCACAAAGAGCCTCAACTAATTGAATTTCTTGTCTTATGATTAAATCATTTCCTGATCGTCGATAAGTCGGGTGTTCTTTTTCATCTAAGACAATTATAATATCACCTGGTTCTAATTCAGGTTCTTGATCACCTTCACCGTTGAAGATAATTTTTTGACCATCCGTCATACCTTTATCAACATGAACCTCTAAAATCTTACGATCTCGAATCACTTTTTTACCCTGACATTGTTTGCAACGATCCTTAGGGCTAATTCTTTCGCCTTGACCGCGACAATCAGAGCACATCGATTGAATTTGTTGAATCATACCTATTTTAAATAATGAAATTAATTTATTTAATTTTCATTTTGGTTTAATTTTTACCTGGGGCTAATTGTTGAATTTGTACTTGCATTCCAGTCCCTCTACAAGTTGGACATTGTTCTGTAGCTCCCTTTTTTCCACCACGACCCTCACATTTATCACAAATAACGCTTTTCTGCAATGCCAACTTACGAACGGTACCCTTATAAAGTTCCTCCAAGGTCACACTGAGTTGATGAACGACATCTTTACCTCGACGTTCTCTCCTCCGGCTTCCTCTACCTCCAAATGGACCGTTAAAGAACATATCAAAGAGGTCCATGGGACTGGAGAATCCACCACCCATTCCTCCCTCTTTCAAGGCTTGTTCACCCCCTTGATCATAAATTCGCTTCTTTTCCGGATCCGAAAGGACCTCGTAAGCTTGTGAGATTTGTTTAAATTTATCGCCTTCATTTGGATTTTTATCGGGATGATATTTAAGAGCGAGTTTGCGATACGCTTTTTTCAGATCATCTTGACTACAACCGGGTTTTACGCCCAGGATGTCGTAAAACTTGGTTTCTTTCACCATTTTTTTAAGAAACACTATTGAAAAGAAAATTTTATTACATATTATAATTTTATGCATAAAATGACTAAGCAATGCTATTGATTAAACTTTGATTACAGTAAATCAAAAATGCTTCATCATTTTCAATCGAAATCGATAGAGATGCTTTAAAACTTAAATTAAGGTTGATCAAAACTTACATAATGATTTTTGAAGTTGGTATATGTAATAATATGTAATATCGAGTCGAGCGGTTTTCTTATAAATTCTTCGAGCACTGGCTCTCACGAAACTGATGGAAACTAATCGTTAAACGTGTGCTAAGAATCAACTGCTGGGGCTCTAGAAGTTTCCTTAGTGACAGTGACAGGTTAATGACAGAAAAGGAAGGAAGAAATGTTGCCAGTTGCCATGTGGTAATTTTTATTAAATAAACATCAAATATTATTTAAAACACAATAAAATCATTTTTATTATCAATATAAACTGTTTTAGAAACAAATCTTTTAAATACACATCTACAATTAACAATAAACTTTAAAATAAAATATTTAATTTGGCAACACTGCTGTTCTAGAAATTTCCACCACAAAAATGATCTCCCCGTTTTTATAATTTTATGGTACGTAAATAAACAATGATTATTTATTATAATAACAACTAATCTACATTACTAATAAATAATTATAAACAACTTTAAATAATAATAAATAATCAATTTCAAACCTGTCAGGTTAATGTCATCTGTCAAAGTCAAAAAGATAACCTAACAGTTAAATTTTAAAATAGCGACGAATATAAATAAATGGATCAGCCAACGGCAAAAAAATTATTAAAACATGGTGCAATATTTCTGTTCTTGGACGTACCGGAAGGCACAGAGTTCGGGATTGATTTGAAATCATGGAACACGGGAGAAAAATTTAGAGGGGTTAAAATGATACCACCTGGAATTCACTACGTCTTTTATAATAGTGTTAGTAGCACCGGAGATACAGCACCCAGAGTAGGATTTTTTCATAATTTTAAATCTGGGGAAGTGCTAGCAAGAAAATGGGATAAAATTAATGAAGATATGAGTATGGACGTTGTTCCGCAAAGCGAAATATCAGTTTTAATGGATAATATTAGAATGTTAGATCAATTTTTGGGGCCATATCCTTTTGAAATATTACAAAGATGGAAACAGTTAACGTCACATTTAAATGGTAAGAGTGGCTTTTTAATTTTGTCTCAATAATTTTTTTCTTTTTTGATACAGAGAATCTATTGTATAATTTAATGCCTTTATCTGGAAAGATTAGATCAGCTTTAGAATTAGTTTCATGCAAAGATTGTGATAGACCAAAAGGAAATAAAATAATCGAGGATGGTCCATCAACAAGTAAAAGACGATCAACTAGAATAGATTGCGATGAATTACTGGATAACTTACTACCAGATATGAAACCAATAGCAGGAACAGAAATAAGATTTACTCCAATACCTTCTAAACGATACCCTGATGGATCTTCACCATCAGAAATAACTAAACACTGTATGGATCAATCATACATTTTAGATGTACTCTTAGAAGATTCTATAACCGATATGGATCTATTGGGTGAAATGCAATTTTCGTACATTTGTTTTTTAGTTGGTCATAGCATGGAAGCTTTCCAACAATGGAAACAAATTATTTGTTTAGTATGTTCATGTGAAGACATAATTGTAAAATATCAAAGTATGTACGAGGAATTTCTTTCCATTCTAGAAATGCATGTAAAGGAAATTCCCGAAGAATTTCTTGCTGATATATGTTCTAATAATAATTTCGTTTATGTAAAATTAAGACAACTATTTGGATACATAATAATGCCGCGTGTTTCACAAAAATTAAAAAATAAAGTCGATAGGCTCATCAAAATGTTATCGAAGAATTACGATTGGGATTTTAGTCATTTAGAATCTGAAGATGAAGATGATGCTCCTGTTGTTGTAGAATTAGGAGATTGTACATATTAATAAATAAAGTATTAATAAAATTTGTATGATTTCTTTGTTGCTACCTTCATCCATATTCAAGTTAACTTCTTTAGGATCATTTTATTTTCATTAAGAGATTCTTAAATACATCTCAAGCTATCGTCTGAACTAGAACAATCAAAAAACCTTCTATCCATTTGGGGTCTCACTTTTTCTTTTTAGGCAGAATAGTATACGAAACATTGAGTAATATTTATATTTAAATTAATTTGAGTCCTCTACCATTCCTAAAAGTACTAAATAAATTAAATAACACAGGTATAAAAAAACAAATAAAATTGGGTTGAGTACTTGTTTTTATTAAATTTTTTCTTTTGAAATTTTGGTAACATTTTGTTTCTTTTCTGTAAATGAAAACAATAAATAGTATATTAGAGACTATAATTTCGACATTCAATATTTGAAGCGGTTTTCTTTTAAAAAAGTATCGACACAAGTACGTTTCGTTACACATTATATTTTTTTTTCTTTTAATATACAATGTTTATTTTTAATAACATGGTGTTTTTTTTTGTTTTTAATATATAAATTAATATTTAAAGTTCACAAAGTAATAGGAATTATTTAAAAAGAAATCTGGGGCAACGGAAAACACATTTCATCAAATTTTCGCTTTTTCTATAATTAAATATTGTAGCTTTAATTTTTTTTTATTTATTCATTTTTTATTTCATTCTATGTTCACTACTTATGTTTATTTTATTTTATAAGCATCAAACTGCAAGTTGTATATAAATTTTTATTTATTACACAAAGTGGATTTTTTGTTTTTGTGATTTTTGTTAAGATATTTTGGACAACTAATTTATTTTTTACCTTTTTCTTTGATTTTTTTTCTTTTTTTCAATATTATAAGGACAAGTTAAGGCAAAAGTTAAAATTAGTAATTAGGCACAAAAACAAAGTTTTTTTTGTTGATTTTTTTAAGGCAATTTTTTGCCTAAAAGAATTATTTTTTGTATGCATAAAGCACCGCAAAAAATTTCTTTTCTTTTTTTCAAAATTTTGTTTGATTTTCAATCACCCTTTTATTCAATTCCCCTTTCATTAAATCATTTCATACTTTTTCATATTAAAATAATCATCATTTTTTCAAAAAAATTTTTGCAAATTTAGTTTTTTCTTAAAATAAAATTGATTCGTTCACACATTCTTCTACGATCGTTTTCTTTGCGTCATTAAAACCCCAAAAATTATCTTATTTTATTAAATTATTAAAAACATTTTGAGTTTTAATGTCGCAAAAAATAAACTAATAACATTTTACTATAAATTGGAAAAAGAAACACAATCCTAAAACTACTTAGTTACTTTTTTTTGTATTTTTTAACTTTGATATGGCCCCATTTTTAAAGTTGGGGCGATAATTTAATATAGATTATAGAGCGGACTTTTTATATTGAATTGAGAGACGTAGTTAATGTAACCTAAAAACTTTGGTTTCGTTGACTATTAAAATGTATTAAATTAATTTGGTGCAAAAACACCACCTTGTATTGTTTAATAATTTTTTTTTAACCACTCTATAACCTCATTATTTTTCCTGGTTAAACTAAAAGAAGAAAAAGGAAAAACTCTAACCAGTACACTTTGTACCCATTTCCAATAATATTATCTTTTTTTAATTACTTAATGAGTACACAAATTAAATTAAAAATTTTTTTTTAATTCGCTTTTTTCGCATTAAATTTATTTATAGAGATGGAAATATTTAAAGAGCTATTCCTATTTTTAAATTAATGAAAAAAAATGCCCTATATTTTTGTTTTTTGCTTTTTTCTTGTTAATTATTACATTAGATATACCTTTTTTTTACTAAATATGTATATTTATTTAATTTTCAAGAAAACCGTTGAAGATCTTCACCAAAAAAAAAAACATTTTTTTTAAACAAAACCAAAAATAAACAGATCTTCGCGTTAACAAAAAATTTTGTTTAAATAAAACGGAAATAAAATAAGAATTATTACGCTAGATGAAAAATATTTATACATTAATATTTTATTTACATAAATATGTTATCCACCAATTTTTTTTTTATTAAAAATATTAATGGTGTTATTAATAAAAAAAACTTTATCGATTAGACAAAGAAAAAAATACATTTAGAACAAATAAATTCATATTTACATTACAATATGATGGGGGATTAGATTATGCAAACAATTTACTTTTTATACGATGACTTTCCCTTTTGAAATAGAAAAATAACTTAAAAATTCGCGTATTACGTTTAAGCTACTAGAAAAATAGACGTGGTGGTTATTAGTTTTTATTAATATTTCAATATTCACTCAAATAAGAACATAATAAATCAAAAAAAATCTTTTGAATCGTTTTTTAACTTCAAAAAAAAAAGAAAACAAATCAACAATAAACAAAACGATTATTCAATAAATTTTTATAAACCGATCAAAAAATAATGAAACTAACTTTTTTTTTTAATTACCTTTTTGTACACACACATAACAATAACATAAAAAAAACGATTCGCTAATAACACTTTTTAGCTTTTTTATTTTTTTATCTTTTATATACTTCTCTAAACCTGCGACAAGAAAATTAAAAAGTAAAATACGTCGACATGTTTACATAGAAACCTACTACATACAATGAAATTCTCCTAATTCGAACATTAATATTTCAAATTATTCTTTAATTCGAATAATTTTCCTAACCTAAAGCGTTTTACCAAGTTTCAAATGTGCTTTTTATCTCTCTATGTCGAATATTTTGTAACTCGAACTGAACTACTATGAAATTACTTCACCTTTAACTTGTATATGTCAAATTTTCCAAAGAATAAACCATTTGAATTCATTCTTTAAGGCACTGTTACTAACACTATACCTGGAACTAGAAATATTCGGGTTTAGCCGCACGTCTTTAAAGATGGCTAAACCCGATTGATTCTAGTTCTAGGTGTAGTGTTAGTTCTAGTTTTAATCGTTATTCAGCGCTAGATTGTTGTATACTTTTATTGAAGTAATTTAACTCGAAGTTTTCTTCTGCTCCCTTAGTGATTCGAGTGAGGGGAATTTCACTGTAGTTTTAAAAATATAATTAAAGGTTTGAAGTCACCGAGAAAATAACAAAACCAAATAATAATAATTCGGGGGTTAATATTAATAATATTCGCCTTTAAATTATTTCAACACTTTAACGTACAAAGAAAATGGTTTCAAATAGAGTTTCGTGTAATATTGGTTGCCAACTTCAAAAATTTTCTTTCAAATAATTTTTGTAATTTGATTATAGAATATAAATGTTATATCTTTTAAAACAAGTACAAACACGACTAGATTATTGGTTCAACTTAGTTGTTAGGAGTTTTTATCAAATATTATTCATAAAGATGAGGATAAAAAATATTTAATTTTCATAAAATAAAACGAAATTTCGAATTCCTTTAGAATTTTAAACCATAAATTTAATTTCAGTTGAAATCGTTTTTTAATAATTAAAATTTATTAAATTACTAAAAGTGAGGTTATGATAACCACAATTTTTTAATACTTTTTACCTCCATTTTCTTTAATAATCCATTTCAAATCATTTTTGATGTACTCAAGGGTATATTTTTTAAAAAATCGATTTAATAATCAATATCTGAGTTGAAATCGTTTCTTTATTACGATTTATTAAATTACTAAAAGTGAGGTTATGATAACCAGTAACTTTTTTAATACTTTACCTCAAATCTTCTTTAATAATCGGTCACTTTTCAAATCCTTTGGATAAACTTGATATTATATTTTCTTTTACACACTAATTCATTAAATATTCTTCAGAATTATTATAAGATGTAGCTTCAACACAAAAACCAAAACAAGTAATGTTGGTTGCCTACCCATAAATAGATTCACATTTAAAAAATTAAAAATAATTCTTTTCTGGCAATAAATTAATCAAAACTCATTAGTAAACTCTAAACATTAATAATCCCATTATAATTTAAAAAAATTATAATACAAAAATTTAAATTTATAAATACTTTTGATATTGCGTATGCAACCCAAACAACACGAAAGCAACTTTAATTTTGTTTATAACTTTTCTTAGTACGTTGAATGTTTAAAAATAATTTTATCATACCTATTTCGTTTTCGTTTAGACGACAAAAAAGAAAAACATTAACATTTAATACCTAGTTTTTTTTATGCACACACTATCGCATCGGAGACGACACTCGAACAAAAAAAAAAATAATAAAAAAAAAATGTTAAATGAACAACAAAATTGAGAGGGTCCCCCCCATTTTTTATTTGTGTTCATCAAACAACAATCTGCACTGAAATTAATATGGCAGTTTTGAGAGAGACGTTTTTTTTTTCTTTTTTTATCATCAAACCAAAAAAAAAAAACGTATCTTACCTGGTGCGACCGTGCGTGTTAATTCATTTCGTTTCATTAATAATTCATTACTTATTAATTACTTTTCGTTTATTTACTTATATACTTTTTCCCTCTCCCCTATATCTTTCTAAAACTGTTTTTGTATTTTTTTTTTTAAAAATAGTTTTAAAAGAATTTTTTAAATAGCTTTTCTACCACGTTTTTTTTAAATTTAAACTGTAGTGAGAGATTTTCCGGTGCCACAGCTACATCTAACATTTTTATCTATATTTTTTACCTTCGCTTTATTCTTTCGTATTCTCTTCTTTGCTATCCTCAATGAAAGGGGGGAGAGAGTGGTTTTTAACCAACGCGTCCTAGCGTCATCGAGCGCAGCACCGGGAGTCGACCAATTTTAATTAGGCAATCCTCCTGGAGGCGCGTCGTAAAAAAATCGGGCGCCACTCCGTCGCCGTTTATCGACGAGTGGCGCCTCTTACGTTCTTTTATGCCATTTAACAATTCGGAAATGTTGAACGAATCTTCTATTGCAGGTAGCTCTTCTAAAAATTTATTTTGAACCTAAAAAAAGTTATATATATATAATTGTAATGATTAAATGAATCAAACCTACCGAGTTTAAATCTAAAAGAAGCTGTTCCCCATCAAGAATACATTCCTCCCTTAATTTTGATTGGATCCCCTCCATAGTAAGTTTTTCTTCCTTTTGTCTTTTCTCACAATCCAAACAACTCTCTCCACTCTTCCAAATATTCTTAATAACATCTTTATCCAACATTTTATTTTCCATATTGTTCCAATAAACATCCCAACCGATTTTGCTACAAGAGCACGAGTTCTTAATAACAGTTTCCGATTCATCACCATCATCATCAACTGCATCATCATCCTCCGATTCATTTTTTTCGTCTTCTTCATTTTCATCATCAACAGCTGGACTTAAATACCCGTTTAATTCGTCGTCCTCGCTTTCACTGGAAAAACATAGTTTCCGTCGCGCTTTTGGACTAGAAGATTCCGTTTGAAGACGTTCGTCATCTTGTTTTACCAAATATTTTGGTACAAATCCGTCTCCATCGAGTTTTTTCGGTTCGCGATTAAATTCAAGGTATTTCCTTTGTAACGGGTCGTCGTTGACGTAAAAAAATCCAGCCGATGTTTTACGCCAGTCGATTTTTTCAAAATCGCTATTTACACGAAACGTCATCCCATCTTCATACTGATTCATACCGGGAACAATTGTTTCGCCGATTGGTTTAAAACGGCATTGATGGGAATCCCATAAATCAACGTAGTTTTCGTCGATTTTTGTTATTTTTCTTGGAGGTGGAGTCGCGACGTGATGTGCCGCGTGATTTTCGTGCGGTTTGTGGATAACTTTTTTAAATAGGCTCGTTTCGGAGTGATTAATAACAGATAAGCTACGCATTTGATCGTGAATGTCTTCAGTGGTAGTTTTTTCATCATGTTCTGACCACTTTTCAATCGGCCAAATCGAAAAGAAACTTTGTTGGTTCTCAAAGATAGTGTTTTTTTCATTTTCTACCGAACAACATTGAATTGGTTTTGCATCAATCGAAATTGCTTTTAATTTGTTTTGAAGAAAGTCTTCTGTGTCTTCGAATTTGCTGCATGACCAAATTGTTTCATCGAAAAACATCGAGTGATGTTCGATATGTTTATTTCCTTCTTGTTTCATATTGGCCATGTTCATCATTTCGACTGCAACTTCGTCCTCATTTCTATTATTATCAACTGGCGAATCTAATAAGTTTCTTATGTTATCTTGTATCATATCGTCGTACATTGTTAGGTTATCATCAGAACATCTCCAATCATCATCGGCTACTTTATTGTTATTCTCAATCTCGTCCATCATTAAATTTTTATTGTTCTCGCAATTATAAAAATCCCAAAAATCTTTCTCCTCAATCTTCTTGGCGTACTTGAAATTATATTGATTGAAGTGCTTCTTGAATTGTTTGAATTTTTGTAATCGCGACGTCGCCGGTTTCTTCATTTCAGTATCAGGTTTTACAGTTTGTTGTTTTCTGACGTTGTGGCGTTTTTTCGGCGAACCCAACCACTTTGGAATCAGGTTTATTATGCCCGGGGAATCGTTTGAAAGTGCCGGAAACGCAGCATAGTAACGTTTAACCAAATCCGCCGGCGATGATGTTCGATCAACACTTTGATTCTTTTCCAATTCTTTTGTCGGCGATTCCGGGGATATTCCGCGATTAACTTGTTTCAATTTTTCGCATAATTCATCCACCAATGATTCAAATCCACATTCCTTTAAAACAAAATTAATGAACATTAAAATAATAAATAATCCAACCCAATCTCACGATTTTATTACAAAAATAATATAAAAATAAGTGTTAATAAAATCAAAGTAGCATTTTCAACTCGAATTGTAGATTACTGTTAATTGCTCTATTAGTTAGATCTATTCGCCACTAGATGGCGCTAAGAAATTACTTAAACTGTAATGTTTTATTTCCTTTTAATTAAATCACTTTTATATATAAACGTTGTCTAAACTGTTTTACTTGAACCCTATGCCTATATGCAACATATTATTAAAATTGAGTGATTTTTAAACAAATTTTTTAACCTGTCAATCCTGATCCAACCTCACTTTTTATTTACCTGGTCAGAAGCGGACATAAGACATTGAACGGCTGCGGAACGTTTCAATTTTTCAGCATCCGACAGATTGAGAGTGTACCAGCCTGAAGAACGACGAAAACGTTTTCTACCACTGCTGGAACGTCTCACTTCCTAAATAAAAATCGAATTAATTTATAAAAATTATAAAAAAAAGGTTAGGTTTGTGTTAAAACTAAGATCGGATAATTATTTACCTTGTTATTGGGTTGAGGGGAAAATTGAAGTTCTCGCTCGGAACATATAACATCAACGGGATCTCTGTACAAAATGCTAAGCACATATCTGGTATAGACGACAGCATCAATGCCGCGTGCTTCAAGCTGTTCTTCAAGCCAGTCAGATACGGCCGTGGGCATGGAAAGAAGTTGTGGGTACTTCATAATATTCTAATGGGATGTCCAAAAAGTTATCGGATATTAAAATAAAATTTTTACAACTTACTTCAATTAGTTGAGGCTGTAATGGGGTGCGTTGCGTAGTTTCTTGTTTCCGGGGGCCACTCGCTTGCTCGATTCCGTCAGGACGACTCGTTTACAATGGTACATTATAACGAGTAGCTGAATGCATCACAAAAAACCAAAAAGTAGGTAGAGAGAAATTGATTTTGATTTAGTTAGGTTATAGTTGTTTTTAGAAATGTCTTGGGTCGTTCGTATTGGTTTCTTCTTAGAATTCGCTACACCGGTCCGTCGTAATAGTTTTGCGGCAGACCCCCATTGTAGACCTGCAACCAACGTTGATAAATGATCTTTAAAAACGATGAGCGATTCTCTCCAACGAGACGAGGACGACTACTGATCAACGACCTTGAACAGGAATGCACAAAGCCGATGCGTCACGTTAACGTTCCCGCCATTTCCCAAACCCAACGCTGGGAGTCACCGGCCAAAAATTATATTTAAATTTAAGGGGGCGGCAGTTACAGCACGTGACACTTTAACAATAACGTCATCCTCGAACTATTTTCACGGTCAATTTTATGTTTAAAATGTTGCAATTACAATTTCTTTTGACATCAAAATTTAACCTCCAAAAAAAAAAATAAATAAACGTCAAATTTCATGAACTAACTTCACCTTGTTAAAATTAAAATTATTTATTAAATTAAAAATACTTATATCTAAAAAAAATAGATTATTTAGAAAAACGTCATACTCAAACTATTTATTTAACACCAAACCAAACTGCGTCAAAAGCCTAATTTTATACTAAATTTAATTTTCAATATTTAACCTCAAAATAATAAACGTCAAAATTTTGTGATCTAACCTCGATTTGCCACATTTCCGAATCAATTATTTAAAAAGAACAGTACTTAGACGATCGAAAACGTTAATACGCCATTACATTGCACAACATTCGATTGAAATTTCGTTTGAAATAGACCGAAAACTTAACGGGGAGGTAATTTTAATATGAAGTTGTAATTGTTGTTAATTTTGGAAGGAATATAAACTTACCTGTCTTTGGGGATGTTGTTGTAGTGTCTTAAAATCACAAACACACCCCGCAATTTTTAATAAAACATGGCAGCCAGGCGCTGGGGCCACCGCCAATCAGGACTACATGCGAAAAAGTCGGGGACACTTGCGCCTGTGCCACAAAGGACACACGTCACTAATACAGCGGTACTCAAAAGTCGATTTAAACTGGCTAAAGTCTAAGCTAGGTATTTCCTAATTTATGGCACGTGTACAAGTTTACACACGCGTGAAAGTTTTATTTTATGAAACTACATGCTTAAAATTATTTTGATTTAAGTTTATATAAATTTAATTGTTGATTCTAATCAAACCGATAACATTCTTTATGGAGGTAGGTAATGGTTTCGTTGGATATTAATTTTAAATTAAAAAAGATCCTCAAAAATATTTATTTTATCTTAATAATAATAGATTTAAAATCTCCTTCAAAGTTCATTATCTTGCTGTTTTTTACGTTCAAAAATAAAAGGAAATACGGCGACTTACGGCGTCAATGTGCCAAAATATCCGTCTGGAGACAAAAGGAGGGTCAAGGACCAAAGCGGCAAAGGTCGATGTCGGTACAAATAAAAATAAAAAGAAAGACTTTTCTCAAACGTCTGGATGCCAAAGCCGATTATAATTAGACACCCTGTATGCTTATAGGACTATAACATAATCGTTGTAAATATGTTTATCGATTTTTGAACACAATAGCCTCGATTTCTGAGGACTTTCACTTGGCACGTGGATAAATATGTCTCCCCGGAAAAAAAGATAAACAAATATAAAGAATCGCAACTACGATAAGAAGCACATCGCATTTAAAGACGAGATAAGAAAGCTTTTATGTTTTGCAAATTGACTTGTAACAATAAATGAATCATAACATTTTTATTTTGTTATTGTTGTTTGGAGTATAAATCGATAAAAATTAAAATTACTAAGCATTGTTCGTAATAATAACAAATGTTGTATCGTTTTAAAGGAAAGATTAATAATAAATACTATTATTTATAGATGTTGGGAATTGTTATTGTTAGTAGGTTGGCACTAAACGAACTTCAGTGTGAACGGTGTGAACGCTTTACTCACAGAGTATAATAATCTGTGCATCTGGTAATCTGTGGCTTTACTTTTGTAGAAAGGAGTGTTGTTGTATCTCTGATACTTGTCAAATCAAAGACTTTAAAAAATCTTGAATTGTTCTATTTGTACGTACCTATTTGTAAATTGCAGAACTTTAATGCTGCTACGAGCAAGTCCTAAAATATTCCCAAGTTTGACAGTGGCGATGTCAATAAACAACTTAGCGTGTGATTCCAGGAGAACTGGTCCATAGTAGGCGAAGTCTCTCTTCTGCCCACAGTCCAATCCTATGTTTGGCCATCGCAAATGATATACCAACCGCCGGTACTGACCCCACAAACGCTTTAGCGCTGCCCTCCGTGCTAGCTCATCTGCTACTTCATTACCAGCAACCCCAGAGGACCCTGGGACCCAGATCAGAGCAACTCTGTTATCACAACTCAGTGTGTTTAACGTTCTTTTATAGTCATTAACCAGAGCTGGCACAATTTTCACGGCCTGCAGCGCCCGGAGAGTGGCTTGACTGTCTGCGAAAAACCGTACTGCCATGTTCCATCCAGGACTGCTGTTCAGGCAGTACAATCTGATATCGAGCGTTAATCACTAGTAGTGATCCCGTCAAATTTGACGGCATTGATAACACAATATCAATGCTGATAGTGTCTTCTGCAGCCCACTGGTAGGACATGTCGGAGCAGTTTTAAGCATATTACTTAATCCTATAAATGGTAGTTCTACCACTTTCTCTATATGCAAATACAAAGAAGATAGGCTAAATAGAACGTCCATTGCTACAGTTGGCGTTGTGCTTATCGCATCACAGATAGCCAATTCAGCTACTCGTTGAATTCTTGAAACTTGACTGATAGCTGAAGTCTGTCGGGCTTTCCTATACCAGGCTGCCACTTCGTATGTGATTATAGGTCTAACCACAGTCACATATGTAGAGCCAGTACAGTCTTTCAGGGGTAAGACCCCAATTTTTTCCACAAAGATTACGACAAGTCCACAAGGATAATCTAGCGTTGTGTAAAACTACCTGCACATATCCATTCCATGAGACTCCCTTTGAGAAAGAAATTTCTTCACCTTGGATTGTAGGGCGGATTAGTCCACCACGTTATTAATAAATCAAATAAAACGTCAACTTGACATTTAAACGTCATCCTTATATTTTTTAGGTTATCCTAATTAAATCATAAAAAATGTGGAAAACGATTCAAATTAATAACAGCCTGTACTTAATAAACTGGAAACGGGAACCCGTTCATACGTTTTTATTAAGCGATTTAAAAGAATTGTGGTCAGAAGAAGTGGAAACGGATGAAATGCATCGCCGATTTAATGTTATAACTAAAATTATGCAACTTTTACTTTTACCACTTTCTTTAATTACAGGAATTAAACCCTTTAATAAATTCTCGAAGTGTTCAATATGATCTTAAGTTTCTTTCCAATGCTATTTCTTCTAGTACTGTAAAAATCCAACATGTTGAAAATCGAATGTTGGTTGATGTTGAAGCTGTTGATGATGTTTATCCATTAAGATTTAAATGGGAATTAAATAAGAAATCAAATGATATGTTTTTTAAAGAAATAACTTTGAACTTAATATCAAGTGTGATAACTTTAGAAAAGAGACAGGATGAGTTGTTTTCTTTACTTATGAAAAAAGATAAAGAAAAGTGTGAATATGTACGTGAATATGGAGAGATATCTAGAGGTTAACTATTTAAATATCATGAAATTAAAGTTTTTTAAGGAATGTGATTATAGATTTTTTAAAAACCGTTAAATTTGATAAAGAGGAATTTATTGGTGAATCGTCAAATTCGGGAATGTGTGGTATTTTTTCATATCAACCTGTTGTTGATGATCTTAAAAGCACGTATGGGATGAAGCTTGAAAAAAGAAAAGCGTAACTTATTAAATGATTTTATTGTATTTTTTTAAATGGTTTTTGATTTTAGTGACCCGGTAGATGATAAACAAGCTAAAAAGGTTAAACAATACATACCAAAGTTTTTGAAACGTCCAACAACAAAGTAAATAGAAAAAATTGCAATACCACCATTTATTAATACATTTTTCATTTTTTATGTGACTATATATACATTACACATTTTGAATAGATTTAAGGTGTTAAATTAGATACTAAAATTGTCCATTGCGTTTTATATACAAAACATATTTACCATTTTATTATTTCTTAATAACAATAATAAGTAATGATAATAACTAGAATATTATTAACCTTACTAGGAGAGCGGTGAATAAGAAAATATATTTTTTACATATTGCAATGTACAGTGTGTTCATAAACGATTGATGCAAAAAAATAATTTGATAACTAAATGACAAGATTATTTTCAATCGTTTATGATCGCTAAATTAATTTTGATTAATACACTTATTTTCTATTTGTTTAAATATTGACTAAATCGAACATTTAATTCCTTTTTTTATCACCCATTCATACAAAAAACCACACATTCAACCATTACAATGCTTTTTTTAATATTTACAATAAAGAGTAATAAATAAATTCTATATTAAACTTGTTTAAGGTGTTATGTTACGTATTGTTCTTTGTTTATTTTGGGAAGTAACAATAAATATTCATCTACAACTTCAAAATGAAAATAGAAAATTGTTAAATTTTTTAACGTTATACTTTTTTTTGTTCTCCTTAAACCTCTTAATGTTATTTCATACGATTTAAAACATAATCCGCCGCCACCACCAATCCTTTTTGATACGGACTTTCGCTCAAATGATTCGCTAATTTCATCGCTTCCGTACAATGTTGTTTCGCTAAAAATCGGGTTTGTTCTAATCCTTTTGATTTATGCACTAATTCGAATGCTTTTTCTACATCCCCAGGATTTTGGAATCTTCTCATTATCATTGGATTTAATTCAGGATACTAAAATTTTATTTACAAAAAAAAATAATTTTCTTAGAAATATTTTATTGTTAGGTTATGTTTATTACCGAACTTCACACTTGTTTGATTTTTAGCGCCATCTTTTAGGCAAACAATTAAGTTATCACAACATAACCTAACAACTGACATTTTAACGATTTGTGGTTATTGTGAATTTTCGGTAAGTTTTTAATTATTTATTTTATTTAAATTTAATTACCTTTTCACATGCAAAAAGAACTGGGGCTGTAGCTAACCCTAATTTAAGATCGGCAGCTGTTGGTTTACCCATAGTTTCAGTTGAAGAAATAAAATCTAAAAGATCATCAACGAGTTGAAAACCTAAGCCTAAATTTCGTCCATATTGGTAAGCTAATTCCGATAATTCCTCATCGGCACCGGCTAACATCGCAACCTAAATTTGTAATGATAAGATGATTAATTTACGATTCTAATATTTAGCTTACAGCTTTCATAGCGTTTGCTTTAAGTGAAGCAGTTTTCCTATAAGTTTTCGTTAAATAATGTGCAAATCGTTCGTTTTCGGTTTCCTTCGAGCCGAGCTGCATGAATTCGCCTTGGACTAGATCGGTTACCACTTGGCTTAAAACCAAGCTGACGTCGTCGTTCTTTAATCGGGCGATGTGCATCGAAGCCACGGATAAAATGAAATCACCAGCCATTGCAACCTATCAACGAAATAAATCAATAGATTACTAAATATGGAATGAAATCGTTTGTAATCAATTATACAAGGTTTATTATTAGTTTTTATGATCAATAATTGATCATTTAATTAGCACATGAAAAAAGTGTTGCGTGCTTTAAACTTGATTGTTATAGAAGGTCGCTTTCTATTTACTTTAACTTACAATTAGTTGCATTTGAACAATTACAATATCATTTTTGAAAATCCTCGTTATTTTTCGATACAATAGCGTCAATGTTTTACATACATAATTAAAGAAAATGAAATTGATTAAAATATAAACGCGTAGGAATTTGAGTTCTTTGCGAAAGCATTAGTCAGTTAGAAAGCGAATAAAATGAATTATTAAACAACGTTCGTATTTGTTTGGAAACGTATACGTCTAGTTAAATAAAATTGTCGTTGTCTTTACGAGTCGATCAAATGTGGATCAGGAAGTTTTATTTATTTTCTTTCATTTACGACACTAAACGCCCGATCGTGATTGGAATATCAACATGGGAAAAGAATTCGTGCTTGAAGAAAGCGTAAAAAAGTATACTATTTAAAAAGTTACTAGTAGTTAAGGTTTAATTAATTACTACACTATGAGTGCTCGCCTCGATTCGAACGATTGAAATTAATGATTTTCTTTCGAAACTGTGTTACACCTTTCTATTGTATAGATAATTTATTAATATTTATTTTAATAAAAATGGTCAACCTGTCAATTTGTTAAAATCGTTAAACTAATTGAAAATGAAACGAATTTGAAATCAGGTTGTATTTCTTTTGAAAAGATAGTCATCGTTCTTTTTACATATGTAACAAACCATTTTTTACAAGAGGATTAATAATTCAAAATAACCCACACATAAAAGTATTACCATATTTTTTTTTCTTCTCTTGATGACAATCATTTTGACAGCTCACCTAACCTCAAATTCATGAAAAAATTAGAAAAATTTAAACGATTTATCTTGATTTAATTTATAATGGAGATTTATTAAGTCAGGGTTAATTTAAAATTGTATATTTCAAGATTTCGTACAACAATTTGTTTATTTAATCAATTTATAACCTCGAAAATTAAAATTTTGATATTCAACAAAATCTCCATGGCAACGCCAGGTTGGTAATCTTTCAAAACTTAAAAACTCTAATTTATCTACCTATAACTTTGGCATTTAAATTAATAAATTTTTATCAAAAAAGAATAATTTTATAGGAATATCTTGAGAAAACGTTTAAAAATGTAAAACTTTTACAGTTACACATAATTGCGCAGCATTATCTTGCAAATATTTCATTTTTGAGATTTGTTTACAAGTTAAGTAACGCAACTACTAAAATTGCACAAAAAACGCATTTTTACTTCTTCCGTGACACTTTTTTATAGAGTAGCATTTCATATTGAGAGAAATTCTTACAATTGATTCAGATATAACAATTCAATCAAGTTCTTCTTCTTCCTCCTTTTATATTTAGGCATAACTGCCTGTTTTTCTTAACTTTTTTGCCCCATCGTTTGGATCATATCTTTTTCTAGGTCTTCCAATGCAAGTGATGCATATAAACCTAGAACTTCTTTTTTCGTTCTTTTGGAACCATTCTTTACAACAGGATTAATAATTCAAAATCACCTACACAAAAAAATATTAACTTTTTCTTTCTTGTCGAATAAGTACGATGATGAGATTTCTTCAAATTATTCTAGCCAAGGTAAGAACTTAAGATCTAAATTAAACCAACAAAGGAATAGTTTTAATTAAACCTAGACCATCTTAGAAGTGCTTTATATTTCACTTTCACGCATAATAAAACCCACAAATTGTATAAATAAAATACCACTTCCGAGCTTTTATTCTGGAATTTATTATATCGACAAAAAAGAGAGAAGTGCATAAAATGAAGGTAATATCTCTTTTATAAAATGTCAGGATCATTTAGGTATGAATAAGTTGAGGTCGTATTTATCTTAGAAAACGTGAGAAAATGCGAAAGTTCCATTAAAACCTTCAATTTGTTTTTAAGACGACCTCAAGGTGTTAGTTGATGATCGCGTAATTTATCAATTAAACACTTCCTTATATCGAAATCGAAATCTTTTCAAACCACACCATCAATAATACATAAAGAAGAAGGTCGCAAGTTAATTAATATTAAATAAAGCTTTTTTTTAACAAAGTTCAATAAAAATAAAATAAATAAAAAAATTAGCGTACAATCGATAATTTATTTGTGTATGAAAAAAGATTTTTTAAGCGTTCGTTAGAGTTCGTCACCGTTCTCGTCGAAATAAATTTACGTAACACCCAATCTAAATATAATTTTACACAATCCGTCTTGGAGAAGGTCGAAAACCTGTTAAATTTCGACATACATGCAACGTTTCGAGACTAGTTTTCTTTTAAAATGACACATTCTATGCAATTCTTGGTGCATGTAATTTATAATTTAATATTTCTTTTTGAATTTTATTTTATAATGAAATCACCAACTTTACATTCTCTTCATACCGCGGCAATTTTAATAAAATCTTCTATTCACGTACCTTTTTATGATTCCAAACGACGTTAACGCTGGGTTTTCCTCTTCTAAAGTCTGACTGGTCGATAACGTCATCGTGGACTAGTGATGCTGTGTGGATCATCTCCGATATCATCGAGACTTCTCTTTGCGAAGATAATAAACTAAAAAATAAAAAAAAAAGAAATAATTTCTTTTTGTGCCTGCACATGTCTTAGAAACTTAATTACTTAACTACTTTCACTTAAGTTTGAGTTTGATGTTTAGGATTTTGTGATTTAGAATTAAATTGAAGGAAATAGAAAAAATTATGAGAATGAAATGACCTAGCTTGCAGTTTTCCATAACGCAAGGTCTAGGTCTTTCTGGGTCACGAGTTCATAAACCACGCTATTGTTCCGGTGCATGAACCCGCAAAGAAAAAAAAGAAATGTTTCATAAAACCCACCTATTCTTTTTATACATGTGATAATTAATAGCTCTTGCCATTAATAAAGCGACCATCGGACGAATAGCTTTTCCTTGTCCATCAAAATAATACGTCGCTATCTCGTATAATTCTTCCTGATAGGTATTTTTTCGCAAACTCTATAAAAATTGGTTTTAATTAAATTAAACCTAAATAAAAAAGTCCTTTTTACCTGTCTGATGTGAGTGTAAACATCTTTAAGATCGTCTTCTAAAAGTAAATACGGATCGACTTGATACTCAGGTAAAGATCCCGGCTGTTGCGTTCGCATCGTAGCGAAAGTTCTTGCTGTTGAAGCCGAGTCTGGTCTTCGACAAGGATGCCAACAATTCGCCGTCGTCTCGGTTGTATTCGAACTCGAAATGGGTAAATTGCTTTGATTTGCAACCTAAAAAATGCAATAAAATAAATACATTGTAATTTTTTTCCATAAATAAATGCTCATTAGAGGTATTTTCAAATGTTTCAAACTCTGCGTATTTCATTGGTGGTTTCATTGTCTAATTCAATTCATGCATCACATAGAAACATTTTGATTTTCTTCTTTGATGACAAAAAGAAACCTATTGAGAATGTAAAAATAATTTATTGAAATAAAACTAAAATAAAGTTTCGTAAAATCGTTAAATATCAAAATGATTGGGTAATCGATAAACGGGATATGATAGAAAATTGGAAATTTCAACTTCGTGTGTATTCCACGAGGTCAACTTTCCACAGAAGAAGACGAACGATTCGTGAAAGTGAACCTTACAAGATGTAATCCGTTTAGAATTGTTAGATTTTTTTACATAATAATTTAGTTTTGCAATCGGCAAACGCGAAGAATAAAGTTTACGTAAATTCATCCCAGAATTTCTTTGCGTTTACAATAAGAAAATTGCCTTAAAAATAATGTAACAATACGACGTTGTATAACATGTAGTAACAGGTTTCGTAGTGAAATATAAATCGATTGTAATAATAAAGTACGTTTTCTCTTCTCTTCTTTCGGAGTCAGAAAGCGAGTATAAAAAAAGTAAAAATTAATTTGTTATGATCTATTAATTTCTTATTTTTCTTTACAATTTCAATTTATTTTTATTTTCATTTGTAAATAGTTTATGGTAGAATAAAGTCAAATTAGTATAATTGACGTAACAAAAAATCAACATACAACTTTATTCCATTAAGAAGTCAATGATGACAAATTAATGATAAAAAACATTTTTCTTATTTCTTAACCATATATAGACATAACCTAAATAACATTTTCCTTATTTATACTAATACGCACTTAGTATTTAATCTTTAAAGATTAAAATTTCTTTCGAGTTCGAATTTCGAATGTAATTCGTTTTCATTTAACACCTGTTATCTTTTCTTTAGTAGGTAGAAAATAACAGGTGATGCGTTACTCTCCGCGAGTCGTCGTTTTGGGTGCTTTTCTGTTAAAGAGGGGGTCAGACACCGTGTGTACGATTCTCTTTCACTTTCACATTCCTCTTGTCCGGCTCTGAAAATCTGGGTTAGACGATCAAAACCGGACTCAACGAATGTGCGTACGATATCTCGTTAAATCGCAGACTTCTCGTAGCCGATTCCTTCTTTGTACGAGGAGGAAGAGGCGGTTAATTCAGTTATGTAAGAAAGTAAAACAGAATCTTCAATAACAAATTAATGCAATATAGACTTTTTTTAAATTTATAGAGAAGTTTCTTTTAGTATGTCAAGTAGCTTATTACGAAACACAATGATGGTGTTAATTTAATCGGAGACTTTTTCGCAATAAAACTTCAATCTTTTACGAACACGAAAATTGACCAACGAAGACCGTGTCAATGTCTCCGTCTCTTTCGAATATTTAAACTATCTGCACTAGAGGTAAATCGTAAGGTAGTTTATGCAATTATAATGTCGTAACGATGATAATTTATCGTCACTGACCCCTAAGAAATTTTTTTCCATATCCACTTGAAAACCCATCATTTAAACGACTCAAGATTATGATTACGCATAACGAGAATGAGTTATTAGTAAAGAAAAAAATATATAATTATGTATAATGAATAAGTAAGATATAAACTAAATTATAATATAGATAAAGAAGTCTCTAAAGATGTATTTAAATAATCGAATGAATAGATAATAAACGTTTAATAAACGTTTGTATTTGTTAGGTTCAAGGTGTATGGAGTGTGCCAAGAGGCAATTAGCATAAACTAGCTAACTAACGCAATATATAGTTAATTGTCAACAATTTCTCGACCCAATATCTTTAGAATCGAAGGACTTATCGATTTAATAAATAAACAATTTCATTTTTTTCTACAAAATTCAACTTCTTTCAAAATCCTAAAATGAAACAAAGAAAAATATGTCGCCAAATTAATCGCAGGAAATAATTAAATCGTTTTAATTCCAATTACTTTTTTTCTTTCTTTACCTCGTTCATATCCTAATCAGCACACACAAGAACAATGGGGCTTCGACCCATCATCATCATCGTCGTCGATATTTCGTCACACGTCCTTAAGCGATACACATATAATACGCGAGGATGTTGCAAAATAAGCGGCGTACACAAAGGAGACGCGTATACAAGTGCAACGACAATTTTAAATAAAAAAAAATCCAGTACGAGTTACGTCATTGTGAAATTGTCTTCTTTGGGTCGTCCTTTTTTTTCGTGTTTTCGATTGGTATAAATTTTATACTTTTTTAAAGTTGATTAATATAGAAAGCTGAAAGGTGTGGCCATATAACTCTTTTTCAACTTCTTATATTTATATTACAGTAAAACTTCAACATGAAAAATGTTTAATTTGCACATTAAATCATTCTAGTTTTAGGTTTAGTGTTAGTTCTAGTTTTAACTGTTCTTCAGGGCTAAATTGTTGTATCTATGTAAATCATCTCCAACTAGATACACTTCCTTTAATTAAATATTGATGTTTCTTCTCAAATAGAAGCGAATTCTTCCAAATCTACGATAAGAAACGAAGAAGAAACAAAGCCGCTCCCCTAACAAAAAAAAAGAAGTTTTAAATTCCTTTTCTCTTCAAACAACTTTCCAACAATACGCGTTTATTTGCAATATTGAGCAACGAAAAGGCGACCGATTTTCTCGAATCCTACCTCTTCTATTCGATGTTTCCATTTTCTAACTTACGTAATTTACTTAACACCATAGTAGTCATCTAAATATCTTCTCAAATATTCATAAGATTTCAATTATTTTTCTTATTTACATCTTCCCTTGGAATTTAGAGATTTATCACATCGAAAGAAGAAAGAAAAATAAACCGCGCGTTCATAAAATATGTATAACGTTGACTTAGCCTTGGCTGTCCGATGAATGAAAATTTCCTGGTTCCATTATCGGACCGACGACGTTTTAGTTTGGAATGTGAAACCCATCTAACGGAATGGAAATTATATCAGGATCTAAACGAGACTCGATATCCTCATGGAATATTAACTAAATTTAAAACTTTAAATTCTGTTTTATTTTTATTTTCGGGTTTTTTCATTAAATACTTACATCATAACCGACATTGTGCAATTTTCGAATGGATTTTAAGAGTTGATTTTCAACTCGGACTTTAAAGGTTATTTGTATTAACTTTAGTTATAACAAAATTAATTTTTTGTTTTAAATACGATCAATTAAACTTCTTCTTGCACACAGGTTGTTAAAGCGAAACAAATCAACTTTTCAACTTCTTAAAGGATGACCGTGAAAGTTATTTTCACTTGCGCCCGTTTTCTTTTTCTACCATACGTACGAAAGAAATTTTTTATAACTGTGTTTATAATATAAATAAAATATTACTTTTCACAACAAATTTCATTATCAATTGAAGTACTAAAATAATCGTTGAAGTACATGGCTTTATTATGTCTTCAATTACTCCATATTCAATATCTGTATTAATAGATAGTTGCTATTAACTATGTAGATATAAGAATATAATAATCGTAGCTTGCCGTTAAGTTTCTCTACAACGATTATTTAATTGACCCAATCTGTTGGGTATTCCACTCTTTCTTTATTTCCTTTTTTTAATACCAATTCATATTCACCTGAGATTTCATCAAGGTTTATCTTCGGTTAACTTCGAATACTAAAAACTTAATGTTCACGTATTTCTTTTTAACTACTACATTAAACTTTATTATTAGTTTGCACATCCACATACTTTACCGTACTCTTTCTATGTAGATCATCTTCAACCATAGATACAGGAAGTGTGTCTTCATTAAATATAAATGTTTCTGGTCAAATCGAAGCGAATTCAACTTTTCATAAATTTAATGCTGTTAAACCGAAATGCAAAAAGATAAATATAGGAAATAGAGAAAACTTATTTCAATTGAGGTTATGTCGCCTAATAACTATGACGTTAGTAAAAAATAGTAATCGACATATAAAAAAATACCTAATTAGTTTTTTTTAATCTTTTATTTGTGAGTTATATTCATCAATCCAATTAATTGAAATGAATAATAAAATGATTTTCACAAATGATTAAATTTATTTCAAATTGAAAATTTATTATAACTGTCAATCAACCCAAATCTATGAAGTTAGTAAATAGTAGTTATTAAAACATTCCTTTAAAACTTATTTTAAATTTTTAAAAAGTCAAAAACTAAAAATAAGTTAAGATTTATTTAATCCAATTAATTTAATTGAAAAAACAAATGATTTTGATAATTATCGAAATTATTCAAGTTAATTTCAATTCAAATGTAACTGTCAAAAATTCTAAATATCAATGAAGTTAGTTGATAAACACAAAACGTCTTTAAACGTCTTTGAGTTTCTGAGTGAGGTTAATTTTGATTCTTCTTCGTTAAATAATACCCTATTATATGATTTAGTGCGTATTCAGCACCAAATGTGTGTGTTTTTCTCTCGTAAACAAAATACCAAAGTTGTATAAGTCTTACTCAACGGTTAATTGACAAATTTATTAACACCAGATGAATGTTGTACAAGAAGTTTTCAGGAAATGAAAGAATTAGATAACAACTATGTTAAATAAGTATTTACCACAAATTTGTGTTCCAAATTTAGCCAATACATAAAAGAGATAAAACGTTTCCAGGTAAACTTTTACTGAACTCAATTTTTACTTGATTAATTAAAATTATTTGAGAGAATTTTTTATTGTAGTGTTTTCGATTGAGAAGAAGACGAAGAAGAAAGTAACATCTGACCTACTTAAAGTAGCAAGGCCACTCTCACCTATACGAAAAGCCAACGTACCAACAATCGTCTCCGTGATCGTTAACATTCCTCGATTACATTCAAAAAAACAAATATGGTTATAATCTTTTTCGATAAGATTTTGAGTTCTAAGTTGAGATTAAATTGGAATTGAACCTCCAAGATAAACATGTAAATGGAATATTTTGAAAGTAAAATTAAAATCTAAAATCGGTGCCAATTAGATTCTGGTTACCCAGAGGCGAACCAGAAAGTAAAATAATAAAAAAAAAAAAGAAAAGTTGAAAAATTCAACAACGGTATTATAGATATTCTGTGAGCGCCTGTTGCGGAATCGGTCAGAATCGGAAAATGAAAGTGTGGATTTTGAAAGCCAATATGAGCCCAACGTTCGGCGATAAGCACTTATAATTCAAGTTAAGAACGAGCGCGACTTTTATGTTATAAAAGAAAGTCGTCGCGTCGTTTGGACGAAGATAGAACTCGTCGCGGGAAAGTTTTCGCCAATTTCAATTTGCAACAATGCTTGTTCATTATTATTTGTCTTGATTAACTCCCAATTAAAAATGTATCTTAATAAATTAAAAAGCAAAAAAATTGTCTTAATTAATTAACCAATAAAATAATTTTCCCTGACCTGACATTGCGTTAAAATACTCCTCGTAAATGGTTGTTGTCCAATTTTATCCCGCGCGTAAGTCGCTTTCCTTCTGCTGGTGGCGAGTTGTAATTGTCCCCACTGACACAGTTTCTCTTGTACCCGGGCACAGAGCCTTCCGGAACCTACTACACAGGCCATAGTTCGGACCGTTGTGAACACCACAAACGAAAGACACCTTCCACTAGCTCACCACACCGTCAAGACCCTACTTCACCTGTCGTTCGTTCATCCCACTACCGAAGTTTTTGTACCGTAACCGCTTAAACAGATTGTGGTGTTATCAAACCGTGGTTGGTCGTATCTCTTAAATTGTTCTAAAAGCACGAACGTTATTTAAACAAAATTTTATCACCACAATTGGGTATTAACTTACGTAACTTACACGTTTTTATTTTTATTAACCTTTAAATATAACCTACAAATTTGACAGATGTTTGGTACTACATAACCTCAAATTTTTTTTAATTGTCAAAGTGAAGTTTATTTGATGATTTATTTATAATTTCTAATAAAATAAAGAGAATAATAAATAAGTTCTTTTACAAGGATTTCATCATCAATTTTGTGCTTTTCCCGTTTTTATAACCGACATGGTTCTTAGATTATTGGATTTAGGGTTAAGAAAAGTTGAGAATGCTATTTTCACATTAATATTTCGAAGATTTCCACCATCAGGTATTTATATGATATAACTTTTTAATATTAATCGATTTCAACTTGATTCTATCTCTTAATAGAGGGTTATTGTGTTGTTGGAAACATAACCTCAACTCATAACCCGGAAAGGTCGAATTCTTGGAGTTTGAAAGAATTGATTGGAGATGGTTGGTTGTGGGCAGTACCAAAAAGTAGGAGATCGATTGAGAAGCGATTAAAAAGAAAATATGGAAGTCCTGACTATAACTTAAAAATTTTGTTACCAAAGAATACGCTCCGAACTTGTAACACATGTGGTGATGATCACGAAGTTGGGGTTTTATGCCGTAATATAATGTAGTGATGTGTTTTTATAAAATTAATGATAAAATAATTTTTAGCAACATGTTATAAAAAAGTAATCGAAGAAACTAAAGCGATGCAAGATAAGATACAAGAAGAATTAAAATTAGAACCTGTTGAAAAGGAAGTTGTTGTTTTATACGATGGCGAAAAAGATTACAAACCAAGCGAATTTTTCGAAGGTAAACGAATAATCGAAATGAAAAAACCCAGACCAAATTGGTTCAGTAAAAATCTTACTGAGAAAACGACTCAACAACCTGCAACAACAAGCGATGTTAAACCATCCGGATTAGGTTAATCACAATTAAAATTGTATCATTATAATAATTTCGGATTAAAACCATCAAAGTAGTCTTTAATTTATTTATTTTTACATTATATACTCCATATAATATTTAAAGCTGTGTTCATGAGTCTCAACTAATAAATATCCATAAAGTTTCAATCTTCACACAGGAAAAGGATGCTCGATTTCTTTTATATTCAACTACTACCGAAACAACGATCATCTATCACAATTTAATGTCCGCATTAAGAGATTTTTAGCAACAAAGTTTATAAAAAAAAAATATTAATTGATGTTTGAAATATTGTAATGATGCGATTTAAATTGAAAAAGCACAGCCTCCTTAAGATTTGAGTCTTTAATTATGATCATTTATGGGGGGGAAAAAATTGATTAAATGAAATTAGATAAGCAGTCTTTCTAAGTAACACCCTGTATATAAATATATAAATAGGCACACAAACTAACTGAAAATAGTATTTATGATTTCGAGTGTTATTTTAAAAGGGGGAAAGAGATTTTTAATTTTTCAGTCTGGACATAATTTTTTTTTAATACAGTAAAGCCTTGAACTTGGTTATACCCAAAGTATAAATACAGTGAATTTCACTTAAAATGCAGTATACAAAAATATATTTCCATAGAAACCAGGGCGTACCTACTTACTTTGTCCCACATAAAATGCAACATGTCTGAATGTTTCTAGACTTTCTAGTTCAAGGTCTAATGTTTGTTCTTGTGACAGTGATAGGTAGCGCTAGTTAGCATAAGATATCACTATCTTGCATATTTTTATTAAACTAAAACTAGAACTAACAACATTCTTGTTTAGCCGTCTTGGGAGACGTGCGGCTAAACCCGAGTGCTTCTAGTTCTAAGCCTAACGTTGGTTCTAGTTTTAATTGTTATTCAGCATTAGATTGTGGAATGTATTGAACGAAAAGTAGAACTAACGCAGAAACATTCGGGTTTAGATATGCGTCTCTTAAGACGGTCGAAAACTCGTGGTTATCATAAGGACATCACCTTTTTCCAAGCAAAACTTTTCCTTTGCAAAACTACCCGATGCCTGTACTATTAAGCTATGTTGCATTTTATGTGGGACAGTGCAAGTGCATAGTAATTTCGTAACTATGGTATATATATATATTGCGAGTTATATGAAATTCCCAGTGTAAAGCCCCATAGGCAGAATGCAAGATCAAGATTTTACTGTATTTTGTTTTAAGTTTTTATATTTTATTGGTGATCATTGAGACGTATTTCGTGCCCGCATAAAGTATTGTTTATATATACATTAATAATAGTTAATTTGACTAAGTTGTTTCGATCTAACATGAAGAACAATTGCGTATTTGATCTGGTTTTGGTTTTAAAAGCTTTGAATCGTTTCGTGGTAATTCTTGGAAAGGATCGCCCTAAAAAAATTAAATTAAATTTTTTGCAAATTTAAATTAAATAGGATTACTTTATTTTCGCGTAATTCCCGTATTTTCCTTGCTAGCGTTATAAAAGCATCTTCGATGTTTATGTTGTTTTTGCAAGAAACTTCAAAGAAAGGTAATTCAAAATTTTCAGCCATCTACAAAAAGAATTTTTATAATTTTTATTGAATCAGGATTCTTTTACCTTTTGTCCACTATCCGAGTCGACGACTCTATCGGAAGATTCGCATTTATTCCCCGCTAAAACGGTTACAACGTGGGGGGAGGCGTTTTCTTCGATATTTTGTAGCCAATAAGTGATGTGATTGAATGATTCTAAATTAGTCACATCATACATCAATAAAATCCCCATCGCCCCACGATAATAAGCCGTTGTTAATGTACGAAATCTTTCTTGGCCAGCAGTATCCCATATTTGTAACTTAATAGGAACCCCATCCAAATTAATTATTTTTTGTTTGAAATCTATGCCTGCATCAAATAGAAACGAGACGAAATGTATTAGTTCATAAAAAAGGGGGAAGCAATAATTACCTATTGTTGAAATGTAAGTGTCGTAATAACGCTCGTCGCAGAAACGATGAACGATACAGGTTTTACCAACGTTTGAATCGCCTAAAACGAGTACTTTGTACGTGGAGGCGAAATCTAACGCCATATTTCACGATGTGGAAATTTCGTTGTTTGGATTCCGAAAAATTGATTTTCAACCGCCCCCTCTTTTCTTTGGGGGTTGGGAAATCTCACGTTGTGCGTCGACTCCGATAAACCGCCAACATTCAAACAGCAAAAAGAACTTTACGATCTCCACAACAAATATTTAACCGACCGTAAACATCGTTGTGCAATTACGGTGAATTGATTCAAGATTAAAGTATCTAATACCTAAATTTGGACTTTCTACTTATAATTTATTAATAGTTACTTTAATTTAATTAATTCTAAATAAAAATCTTTCTTTGGAAATCAAAACAAAATAGTACAGGTTGATGAACCTTCAATAAGAGGTCAAAAGACTATTAATTTATTAATGGTACTTCCATGGAAACCTACCAAGTATATCCACAATAAAAATATCGATTTGACCTAAGTTAGCCTAAGTAGTTTCTTGGTTGGAGGAAACCACGTGCAAATTCAATTCAAACGCCGAACCGATTACATCGACTGAATTGAAGTGGTGTCATAAAATCGGTTCAAAATATGTCGGCGCTTTGTAAAAACAACCCAAATAAGAAGTTAGTTATAATGAAAGAGATTTTTTCATCAAATCCAAAAAAACACGTTTCTTTTGGAGAATTGAGTAAATTGGCGGCTTTGAATCATCCAAATATAGTCAGGTAAAAACGTTTTTATGAATAAATTCACTGTAAGACACATAACAAATCATTTTATCCATAATTATTGTAAAATCCACTTTTAAATCCTTTTAATTAAAAATAAATCATTTTAAATTAAAGAAAAATAAAATGACTAAAGAGTAATGAATGAATAAATAAATTGATGTCAGAATAGAGGGGCATAAGTAAGGCTGGAAAGATGAAGCAAATACGCAACAGAACAGCAAAAGCACGGAACTGAACACTAAAGGAAAAATACAATTATATAAAACCATCTATATACCCACACTTAATTATGAAACAAATCGAAAATAGCAGCAGAGATGAAGTACCTACGCAAGATATTGTGGAAAACCAGAAGAGGAACAAGAACTAATCTTAAACCCTCTGGTACAGGAGATAGAGGGAAAACAACTAAGTTGGTATGGTCATCTGGTTCGAATAAAAGAAGAAAAAGAAGATGAATTAAATTTGTTTTCTACTTTATCGACATTTTTAGTTGTTGTCAATGTCATTTAAAATTTTAAGCAGTGAATTAACGAGTGGATTTTTCAATAATCACAAAGTTTATATTATGGGTAAAACAAATTAATTAGTTTTGTACAGCACAAAAGCACTTTGCACTTTTAGAAATTACTGGCTTAAATAATGAAAAGATTGAAAAAGATAAATCAAGAAAATGGTTGAAAATTGTAGATATTTAGGTCAATACAAGAAAGAGGAGTCGATTATAATCCTAATGGAACACGCAAACGCAAGAAGTATCGACAATTTATTAGAGTACAGAAAAAGTATTTGCGAACCAGTTTCTGAGAAACACATAATAATCATATTTTCGCAAATTTCGAACGCCATAACCTATATGCACACTAAAGGTGTTTTACATCGGTAAATTAAATGAATTAACTAATTCAATGTTTTAATTATTAAAATTTTAGATATTTAGCTCCACATAAAGTTTTTTTAAACAGTAATGGAACAATAAAAGTTGGAATCGTTTCGAAAATGATGTTCTCTTCACAACCAATTCCACATTATTTAAATCCGGAAGTGGTAAGATTAATTTAAAAGATTAAATTAATTATAATTAATCTTTATTTTTAGTGCCTCGGTAAAGAATACAACGAAAAATCTGACGTTTGGGCAATCGGATGTATTTTATACGAATTAGCTACGTTTCAAAAACCCTTTGAATGCGAGAATTTTATGGAATTAATCGAATTGGTTTTAAAATGTAAACCAAAACCACTTCCTGAACTTTATTCAAAAACTTTTTCGAACACAATTAATGAATTATTAAAAGAAAATTACGAACAACGTCCATCGGCGAAGTACATCTATGAAACCATCGTTCCTAACTTATTAAAAAATTTAAAAAATACGCCGAAAAAATTATTTTTCGCCCCCCATTTCAAAAACGGACCGAAAGAATATTCAATGCTTTTCGCTTTAAATTTAAATAAATTTTTCGATATCACACCGATTGAATTACCCAGAAAAAAAATCGTTTCTTTAAGCGTTAGTAAAACTCATTTTATCGCCGTCGCTTCAGATCACTCGGTTTACACGTGGGGTGAAGACCAATTCGGTCAATTGGGACATGGAGAGACGCCTAGTTATCGAAAGTATCCAATTTGTATCGATTATTTCCGGGAAAAAAGTATATTAAGGTATGAAGGTTAAATTTATACCGGGAATTTCAACACATTTCATGTGTTGTTTTTAGTTGTACCGCTGGGGAAGCTTTTAGTATATTCTTGGATTGTAATGGATTACTTTATAGTTGTGGTGATGGTAAATATGGTTGTTTAGGACACGGAAATTGGAATAGTATTACTAAACCAAAGTTAATTGGTAAAATAATTAAGAATTTTTAAGAATATTTTAAACGTTTTATTTTAGAATCATTGGTATCAAGAAATGTTAAAATTGTTAAATGTGGAACTAAACACGTCGTTGCCTTAGATACAAAAGGAGCTTTATACGCTTGGGGATCATCTAAAGATGGTCAATTAGGGCTTGATAACGTTAAATATTGGTAAATTTATAAACATTTTTTGTAACTATATTAATTAATGCATTTTTAAAGTTGTATTCCAACTCAAGTACTTTTAACAAACGTCCAAATCAGGAATGTTTTCGCAGGAGAAGATGCGACGATTTTAATTGCAGCGAATGGGAACATTTTGGCCACCGGAAACAATGCTTATAATAAATTGGGTATCACAAAAATAAATCCGGTTCGCAAATTTACAATGGTCGCCGAAATTAGTATTAAAATCAAAGATATTTGTATTGATAAAAACCACACGGTTATGTTAACTGCTAACGGGGATATCATCGTAATCGGTTTGTATTTTGATCGACAGGTTGAGCTTAAAAAATCGGAAATTTGCCCGAGATTGGTTAATTTACCGGATGTGAGATTCATCGCGTGTGGATTATCGTTTCTTTTGGCGATCGATGGAAAACACGAGATGCATTTTTGGGGCTCTTATTACCGGCATTTAACGGGAGCAACGCAAAATGTTACACATACTAACGTTATTTTAAAGCAAGTTGAGGTAAATAACACTGCAACCAAATATATGTTACTGTAAAAGCTCGAACTATGGTAAATACTAAAATTTTCCAGTGAAACCTAACATTTACCAACTCTGAATAGTAAAAATCTGAAATGTTCTGTGATCAACTCATGTTAGTAAATGTGAGGATTTATTAGTTAAATCTAAGATTTACCGTAGTATGGGCTTTTACTTAGTAACATTAATTAAAAATTATTTATTTTTAGAATGAAAGAAAAGAAGGTGTAAAAAATTATTATATTAAAATTATTTCCCAACCAACTAAAATTTGCAGGTAACATTATTTTTTAAGTTTATACATTTTTCTAATTAATTTTTTGATTTAGCTTGTTTTTAAATGAATCTCTTCAACAAAATAAGAACATATCAATTGGAGGTCTTTACGCCCAAGATAATAATGTGTTATTGTTAGTTCATCATTCGTAATAATAAAAAAAAAAATGATAATAAATTAAATTTGAGATATTTAATAATTCCTCTAAAACCCTGTCATAATCTTGGTAAATCATGTATGTAGTTGATAAGATTAACAGGGAGTTTTATTATATCATGTTTTTCAAACAATTCTGTCAAATAGACGTTCAAAATTATTTATAACAACTCAAGATTTCGGGGCATGAGAGCAGTAAACAAATCTGACCTAACCTAACATTCTTTTCCGGGATGATGGACGATTGACATTTGTAAACAAAACTAACCTAACTTTTCTTTTCTGGAAGCCATTGCTCGTAATAAATAACCGGAACTTTCGCAATATCCTAGTATTGCGCACGTAGGACACATAATCTCTATACATATAATAATATACTCAATACCAAACTTATACTCAATACTATACTCTGTTTTTAAACCAGGAGGAGTATTTTAAATTTGTCTATATTTGTATATTTTTAAGTTTCGGGTTTAGCCCTGTGTCTTCAGACGCTGAATGTTAGGTAAGGTTAGTTTTATTTACAAACATTAATTATACCATGAAGTATTCTTTGGCAATTAGTAATGGCAATTATAGCGTGAAGTTTTCTTTTGTAATGTCAATTATAGCGTGAAGGAATGT